TACAGAGGAGTCTTCTTGATGAAGAGTTTATCAACAGACTTTGGATTGCTTCCAGAGGAGGATTCACATCCAATGCCTCTTCTGTTGTTCCCACTAACACCATAGATCATAGAAGCCATTTTGCTTCTGTCTATGCTTTTAGTGAGAAATCTTCTAAAACTGGAGTCATATTTTTCTAAAATATTTTCACTAGACTCTGTTTCAGTATCAGATTCTTGTTGAGTTGTTTCTAAATCATTTTTGAGTTTTAAATTTATTTCTTTCTGCTCAACAAGTTCTGTTCTCAGAAGATTAATCTCAGATTCAAGATTGCTTTTCAGCTTCTTGTATTTGAGTTTAATCTTGCTGTAGCTTTCCATCATGTCAGATAAACTTTCAACAAGTTCAGCTCTGGAGAGTTCAGAAAATAACTCTTCAGAGTCAGAGTCTGATTCTGACTCAGATTCAGATGATGACGTTCCTTCATCTTGATCATCTGTGTTGGCCATCAGCGCAACATTTGCACATTCTTCCTCAGATTCAGAAGATGATTCAGATTCATCTGAGTCATCCCATGTAGCCATCAGAACCTTTTTCTTTTTGTCAAACTTCCTTTTGGGTTTTTCCTTTTGAAGTTTGGGACATTCACTCTTGTAGTGTCCAGGTTCTTTACATTCAAAACAAGTGATCTCTTTCTTGCCAGATCTTCTGTGTCCAGAAGATTCTTTCTTTTGATCAGATCTTCTGAAGTTGTTGAACTTCTTCCCTTTGTGCTTCCAGAGTTTGTTGATCCTTCTGGACAGCATTGATAGTTCATCTTCTTCTTCAGAAGAAGATTCCTCAGAGCTTTCTTCATTAACCTGCAAGGCTTTAACAGATTTGTTAGATTTAAAAGCTAAGGATTTACCTTTATCTTTCTTCTGGGGTTCATCTTCCTCCAGCTCAATCTCATGACTTCTCAAAGAACTGATGAGTTCTTCTAATGAGATTTTGTTCAGATCCTTGGCCAGCTTCAATGCAGTCACCATAGGTCTCCATTTGGTAGGAAGACTTCTGATGATCTTCTTGACATGATCAGATGTTGAGTAGCCCTTGTCCAGAACTTTCAACCCAGCTGTTAGAATCTGAAATCTGGAAAACATAGTCTCAATGTTCTCAGATTCTTCCATTTTGAACGCTTCATACTTCTGTATCAGCGCCAGAGCCTTTGTTTCTTTCACCTGAGAATTTCCCTCATGAGTCATTTTGAGAGACTCAAACATATCATGAGCAGTTTCTCTGTTGGTAATTTTCTCATACTCTGTATGCGAGATTGCATTCAGAAGTATGGTTCTGGCTTTGTGATGATTCTTGAATTCTTTCTTCTGCTCCTCAGTCATTGATTTTCTATCAATCTTTTTGCCATCCTTAGTAGGATGTTCATACCCATCAATGACTAAATCCCAGAGATCAGCATCATACCCCAAGAAAAAACTTTCAAGTTTATCCTTCCAATAATCAAATTTTTCTCCATCAAACATTGGAGGTTTGGTGCTGATTCTGTCTCCTTCATATTTGTTGCTTGATGTAGGAATATCACCCATATTAGCAACCAAATAAATAACAGAGTATTTTTCTCACTGGATCTTTATCTGTCACGGTTAAGCGAATGCACACTCAGAACCAGGCTCTGATACCAACTGAAGGTGAGAAAATACTTAGAAGGGGGGGTTGAATAAGTATGACAGAAAACAATCAAAGATAAAAACACAAGTATTTTTATCCTGGTTCGTTGAACTCAACTACTCCAGTCCACCCTTTTCAAGAGTGATTTGCCTTTCTCAACAAGGACTTAATCCACTATTCAAATCAACTGATTACAAATAGCACACCTAAGAACAACTGTTCTTAGTCTTCTTAAGAGCTACTGATCTAACCTAGATCCTCTTAAGGAAAACTTTCTTTACAAATGAATGTAATACAATGAAAGAGTAAGAATTGCTTCTATGAAAGCTATAAACACAACTGTGTTATATCTCTAAGTTTAGAACAATGTATGAACAGTGAAGAATATGAAAGCTTTTAGCGTGAGAGAGTTCTTGTCAATATTGTCGTAATTCGGCACTTGAAGAATGAGCTATGATGTCCTTTATATAGCCACTTGAATATTGGAGAGAATATTTTACCGTTAGAGAAAATATTTCCAATATCAAAATGGTACTGTCCTTTGTACTATTACAGCAGAGAGACGGCGCACAAAATGTGGGTGTAGCAATTGTCTGCCGAGCTGTGATTTAACTATATCAGGAATGTACCAGAGGAATAATCTTCTTTGCAGAGAATTTTGTCTATCCCAATTAAGGAAAGATTTGCTGGCATATTCCAACGGATATATTAAAATAATCTTCTTCAAATAATTCTTCAGATAGTTCAGATCAACAATCAATATTAGAGTCTTCAGTCTTCAGAACCTTCTGGAAACTTCAGAGCCTAATATGTTCTTCAGATGTTGATGAATCAGAGTCTTGGTGCAGCTGTGTGCTTGAAGCGTAACATGCTCTTAGATCAGAGTCTTCACTCAGATCAGAGTCTTCTCTCATTCAGAGTCTCTTCACTCAGAGTCTTCTCTTATTCAGATTCTTGATAATACATGCAGCGTGTTGTATCTTCAGAATCTTGATAACTAAGCTCTTATACTTCAGATTCTTCTAATCTTCAGATGCTCTTGAGCCGTTCAGAATTCATTGTTCACATCAAATTTGCTCTTTAAGATTAAAATCTTTTGTGCCTGTAGAAAACAGTTTAGAACAAATTTAGAGAGTATAATTCTTGTATACAAATTATCATTAATGTTATCATCAAAACATAGAGATATTACTAAGACACAATCTGTGCTCTTACATGAAGATAAGCAAACTAACATACTTGAAGACAAGAAAGATCCAAATACCATCACCAACCATTCCAACAATAGCATTGAAAGACAAATGGTGACCAACAATGATCCTCAACAAGAGAAAAATACCAATATAGGTATTGGGAACAACAAAGGCCACGTAACAATAAATGATAATCACGATGATAAAATTTAAAGAGTGCAAATACTTGAAAAATGTAGAAGATCTGAGATCCAAGAACCCATCAGAAGGGTTAATTCTAAAGATCTAACATAAACAAATAAACAAGTTCAGAATGATAGTAGAAATCTCAACATGCAGATGGTTACAATAGAAGAGAAAAAAGAGACACGAGTTACCAAATGGGGAAGACTAGTGAAGCAGATATTAACGATTCTGATATAAATAATAAAGGGGTTAACTTCGATAATAAATGTATTAACAACAAATAAAGTAGCTGATTAAAAACGATACTTACATCAATCAAAAAAATCGAGTGCGATGCAACACAGATGCTAGCCTAAAAAATGATGATAGATGGGAATTATGAGCCATATTCTAAAACGCGGAAGGTGATACATAATGGGATATAAGGATCCTTTGACTGCTGAGGCATGGCGAAAATCATATGATACATAATGGGATATAAGGATCCTTTGACCGCTAAGGCATGGCGATGAATATTACTATTGAAAAAGTAATTAAGAAACCAATCTAAATCTAAAAGTATAGCTAAGACAAAAAAAAAAAAAGTTATTTTGTCATTATAATTTATATTTATATCATTGACTTGGGATAGAGACTTTAAAATAATTACTATATATAAATTGAAGTTAAGTGCCTGCTGCATTGATTGATACCCATGAGATAAAGGTAATGTGTGGAGAGAGAAAAATGCATGGGACCCATCATATTTTATCTGTCGTTTCCATTTCTTTGATGAACCAAGCAGGAGAAATAATGCATTTCTCACATTAGTCTCTCTCTTACATTTCTCTCGTCTTTAATTCACACCAAACAAACACACTGCAAGAATTATAAATTCAAAATTACCCCAAATCTCGCGCGTAAACATCAAAACGAATCAATAACCGTTTTGGTTTTGATGTTTCCTTTTCAATCCCTCACTCTTTATAACTCTCCAAAATCTCTTTCTTTCGTTTTTAGGGTTTGCCACCATGAACAACGAAGATAACATCTACAAGGTTTGGAAAATCAAAGCTATGAAGAGTAGGCCAGGTGCAGAAGAAGCTCAGAAGATGTTGGAGAAAATTGCAAAACAGGTTCAGCCTATTATGCACAAACACAATTGGAGCGTCAAGCTTCTCTCTGGGTTCTGGTAATTTACCATTTTGTGGAATATGACTGAATACACCGTTAAAATCTGGCGAAATAATAGAACACTTCAGAATGAAGAAACTGCAATGTGACTCTGTTAAAGAAAGTAAGCATTCAATTATATTTGTTTCATTCATCACAGTTATTTTCTTTATATTCTTGAAATATTGATGTGGCTTTTAATATAGTTAGCACTACCTATTGTCTCATCACATACTGCCTTTTTTTAATGCATGTGAACTGTTCTGATTGATACAGTCACTTGCCTCTATATGTGAATTGTGTGGCACGCAACAGCCAAAAGTTGTTACTACTTGGTCTTGTAAATTCTGTTCAATGGATAACAGTGCAAAGTTGGAGCAATGCTCAGCCTGTGACGAGCGGAGATACTCTATTGGCCCCAACCTTGGCCCTTGACAGAGCCATGTAATTTGCTAAGAGATTTCTAATGTAAGTTATTTATTGGAAATCCATGTGTTAAATTATCAACTGTTTTATATATTTTCCCCATTTGAACTCATGTAGGCAACAGGTTGAGTTCTTTAAAATTAAGCAATGTTACTTCTTTAAAAATAAGCAATGTTTTCTATCTTCAATTAACTAACCTTCAAGCAAAAGTATAAAAGTTTCAGTTGCTTAAATATGAAAGAGTACATAATAAAAGAATCTCACTATAATAACCAAAATCCAACATTAGACATATGAATAAATGTATAAAGTGCTCCAAACATAGGTAGTATGTAGTACTCAAGTCACTGTCTTCGTTATTTGAACAAGCCAAATGCATTTTAAGTGTATTTTGCACCTTTAAAAGCCCTCTCCCTTATCACTTGTCTTTGGCACATTGGTTACAATACCTTTCAGAAGATCAATATAAAGCGGAAGTTGTGCTACTGCATATAAAGTCACAGGGAAGCAAGTGACTCCATAAATCAGTAACACAATGTGCTTGAACTTGTGGTCAATCAAAAAGAAATGGCCAGAACAGAAAGCAACAAACATTGCAACAATCGACAAGAAAAGAGAACTCAATCCCAAAAGAAGTTTCCTTGGCAAATCAATTCTGAAATCTTTAGCTTCTTTTCGAGAGGTGAGTATAGAAAGGAACATTATGAGTGCAGTGACAGAGAAACAAAGACCAATTACTGAAGAGAAAGCAAATGCATCAAATGCAGGCCTTCCTTCTAATGTTGGTTCGCCTGTGTCACTTTGGTTCCCGCCTGGCACAGTGCTTGACGTAGCGAAGGAAACGCCTGCAAGGAGTGCTGCTACTACAGAACAAGACTCCGAAGTGTCTTTGAGCCATGCACTACCCTCTTTTAACAGTTTTGCATGTGAGTTTTTGAATAATTCTCCTGCTGTTTTATCCTTTTTGTTTGTTCTAACTGTGAAATGCTCTGGCACTAGTTCTTTAGTGTACTGCTTCATGATGTAAAACTTGTTAGAAGGTTCAAATTATATCAAATTAACAAGAAGTTTTATCAATAACAAACATTTTGATTTTCAAAGTGGGACTTTAAATAAGTTCTAAGCTCAAATAAGTCGTTTCAAGCCGGCTGGAATCAATCTTATGCTACATTAAAAATATATATACCTGAAACCATTTGATATTCCACATCATTTGCAAAGCAGCTCCAGGAATGTGCCAATCTCGATCGCTTCTCGTTGCTGCTAAATGTAACACAGTGTTCTCTTCCATGTCCACACCTTGGACTAAGTTATCAAATATTGTCTTTTTATTACCCTCTTCAAACCGTTTTCTTAATGCCTTAACTACATTGGTTCTTCTGTTCTCAACTGCCACAAGCAATACATTTTTGTTTTCCAAGTTAACATCGTATATTGAACTTGGAATTTTTGTTATAAGCTCATCCACTATTTCAACTATGCCATTTCTTGCTGCTGTCAAAATCGCTGTCTCACTTTCCAGTGTCTCAGAAATCTTTGGTATTTTTGTTATAAGCTCATCCACTATCTCAACTATGTCATGTTTTGCTTTTGTCAAAATCGCTGCCTCACTTTCAAGCGTCGTACAAATCTTTGGTATTTTTTTTATAAGCACATCCACTATTTCAACTATGCCACTTTTTGCTTTTGTCAAAATTGTTGTCTCATTTTCCAGCGTCGCAGAAATCTTTGGCTCCTCACTGTTATTATCTCCTGCAAGTTTCATTTTGTTATTTTCAACAATATCTTAAAAACCACTTGGTTTAATAAAGATTTAACTTACCTTGGTTTTGATTGTAAGCAGAAATAAAATCAGCTCCGCTTTCATATCGTGTCGGTTTGGCGCCGGTTCCCAAATACGATTCGTAAGGGTTCTCCATAAATCTTTTCAATAGTTGACCACTCCATTTGTGTTTTTGTTTCATCTTTGTGATCTCTTCAACCCCTTTTTACAAAATTTGAACACATAATCCATAGAACAATAAAACAAACATTGAATATTCATATGATCAACTAAGATGAGACATTTAATTACCTACTCCTGAAAGGCCAAGGGTATAGATGTTTGCAAACTTCATAAACCAAAGACATGTAGCATAGTTTTTTGGAAGAAGTTTGTGTTCCGATTCCATTGGTATATTGCGATGTTGATAATTTTCAGATCCTGCAATTCAATCACCGTTTCATTTTTTAGTTATATGTTTTATATACTACTGTAAGATGTAATTCACACATACCATCTGCAACAGTAGAAGTAGTTTCTTTCATCAGCAGTCGCTTAACAAAGCGTGTAACTGGATCAGCATATTCTTTACATTTATGAAGAAAGAAATAACATGTGTCATAGTTCTTTGGACATTTTTTGTTTGAGATTGACTTGGATCGTTTCATGGCATAATATTTGACAGCTTCTTCGACTTTTAGGATTCCCACAGGTAAACCTTGTAAATCATAAATGTATTAAAATTATGCATAATGGCCAGTATGTACATAATATTGAAATGTTGCACACTTACAATGGTACAGAATCCTCCTCCACCATATCATTGTGCATCCACTTTTGAATGCTGAGGGCCTAGTAGCAAGAAGTTTGAGAGGACTAAATCCGTGTCTGTTTGGAATGACAATAAGATCGGGATATTTATGTATAATTATAAGCGCCAAATCTGTTGCAGTATACACAAATATTAATATTTTAGATACAGTTTTTCTGACACTCTAGATTCTCACGCAAATTTAGATTTTCAAATATCTACTGATATGATGTATATATGAATGCATATGAAATCCGATTAGAAGAAGCAAACATGCAAAAATTTAAGTAAAAATCTTAATTACCGAAAAATTCTCTTCTGATAGCACAGTGAAGAATACTATCTCCATTGCTTCTGATAAGATCTTTAGAATAAGAATAATTACCATCAACAGCAGAATCACTCTCACTTGGTTTAAAGTTGAAGAGATAAACAAACGTTTGTTTTTGCCAAGACAATGCAGCAAGAAACAAAGGACTCTCTCCGTCATTGTTATCGATATCAATCAAATGCTTCCTTTCACCATTTTTTCCAATTATACATTCACATATATCTTTGAATCCTCTTGATGCTGCAAGGTGCAATGGAGTGTCACCCTTTTCATTCTTCCATTCAAGGGCCTTTTCATTTTTGTGAATTATGATTGAATTAACAAGATTTCTAACAACTATTTCATTGTCATCATTTACTGCCACATGTAGTGCTGTTCCTCTACTTTCGTTGATGTTTATTGTGCTGAATTTTGGATCAGATTCGTATAGTTTCATTACTTCATTCCATTTTCCTTCTATTGTAAACCCCCGTAGCATGTCCTCTAGATAGTCACATTTCATACAGAGTTAATAATTTGTTGGAACTAAATTTACTACTAGAAATAAAATAGCGACGAAATTAGAGACGGACATTATGATTTACCTTCGGAAGTGTATGTGGTGTCATAAATAAACCCTCCGACTTCAATAATGCTCATGGTGATCTTCAAGGTTGAAATGAAGAGTGAAAGAAGAATGTGAGAAGTTTAAGCCTTATGTTATGTTCCAATGCATGCAACATGAATCCTATCTGTATATTTCTAGTGAATATGAAAAGATATTATTCCAGTACAGTAAAAGAAAAGAGGAAAAAAACAAAGATTCTAAAGGAAAGTTTATTTCTCAAATCAACAAGTTAAGTATATATTATATTATGATTGTTACAGTTGAATAAAGATCATGAGTAAAATATACATGCAATTTTTACCTTACTTCCAATTTAAGTTAGGAAAAGTAGGTTCTTTGATGCTTTTTAGCTTTAGCCTAAGATATACTTGTTATAACATTCCTATATCATCGTGTTTCACGTGGGTTTCAATAGAAATTTAAATTTCTCACCTAAAGAGTATAATTATTAGGCGAAAAAAAGCATCTTTTCAAAATAAATTTTTCATTCAAGAATTAATCTATTGATATACTCTGAACAAAACTGAAATATGCTAACTAACTAGGCAATGTTATAAAATCCATAATTTAATGAGTTATCACCAATCTTGGGGGAAAATGAATGCTAACTAACTAGTGCTGTTGAGAGAAGAAACATTTTTTTTATGAAAAAAATAGGTTAATCATTACATTTGCAATTACTTCAAGTTGTGTTTTCATGGCAGATTTTTTTAATTATCTTCTTAACCAATACTTTTATCATAGGTTTAGATCAGCTAACTAAGATTTTTTTAGTGAATGCACGAGTTCTGCTATTTGTAGAGAGTTTTTAATCTCATGCAAAAGCGCTGCTCTACCCTATTTACTCACTGTTATGTTAACAAGTTGCTAGCAATTTCGGATTTTTGTCAAATTTGTTCATTTATATTCTTTTCTTCCATTTTTTGTGTTCAAGTCTTCTTCATTTTTGTTACCGTAATTTTTACGATAGAAACATTATAAAATTTGTTGGGTTAGGATGATTTCAGCACAAATCAATTTTTCTATAATTTCTTAAAATTTTATTAAAATTTACAAAAACATAAATGATTAGAAATAAAAGCTCTTAAAACTAATATAAACTATATTAAAGAAAACATATTATAACTGATTGTCATCAGTTACATTTTATAATTTTTTTTAAAATGATAACATATTAACTAATATTATTTTAAAACATTATTTGATATCAAAATACAAATTTAGTAATAGTTAGAAGTTAAAATGGTAATTGTTCACACTAAGAACACTAATTAAATAATTGATTTGAAATTGGTCAAAAAGAATCACAATATATGACTTTTTTTTTTATCAAGTCAGTCTGTCTTTTCAGATTCAAGTGTGTTCCTTTTATACTAATTCTCTCGTCCTAATACAAATGCAGTGAAATGTCATTCAATAGTCATAATAGTCAATTATCATGTGGCTATTGCGCTAGAGAGATATGTTTGGGTATGCTGATGTCACGTGATAAATAACCATCAATGTTGGTTTTAGATCCTTGAGATGGTTTATTTTGCGCTTAAGCTTGGAAGCGGCTCATACTCGACTTGAGCTTAAGCACGATCCCCCTTCTTGGTATTTAACCGACAATTCCAAGATGTACACATTCCCCCAAGCATGTGACTCGGAAAGGCGAAACGCTTAAGACCTAAATTGTCCGTCCTAATCCAACCATGTTACTAAATTAAACCTTTGAATCTAATCATTGAGATTTTTCAGATCTAAACAATCCCTCAAACACAAGGCCTAAAAAGTTGAAGTACTTAAGATTAGAATTGTCTTGACTGATCTGACCCTGTCATTTCAATCAAACTCTTTTGTACATGTTTACCTTCTCAGCATAAAGCTCCACTCTGTTCCGAAAGAGCTAAAACTTATTTTGTGCCACATGGGGTATTCTCCAATCCTCCTTCCCTTCTGACTAAGAACTAATTAGGCACCAAATCAGTGTTGTCGTATCTCGTCGTTCCGCCTCTTAGAATTTTACTTCAGGATATTGCGACCGAGTTGGACACTTTATTTGGACATCACTGCCTGTCATGGAAGCCCTAGTTCAGTTATTCGTCCATGGGGTGTTAGGAGAAGACATGCTTAAAAACAAAAAATCTCAGTTCTAAGGAGATATATGTCTGATATTGGACTACTTGACTTATGTGTCTCGAGGAATGCCTTAATGTATCATGATTACTTTTATTGGGACTTGTAATGCCCCAGATGTCATCATTGCTACATACTAGTAAGATTTTTAGCCTTACATATATGAGCCCTTTCATGTTCCTAAAACCTTGCCTAAATACAATTTATCTCTTTGCACAATCAATTGACTTTTACAGAAACATATCTAGACCTCTTCCTCTTTTTACGCTTATGAGATTTAAAACCCTTTGTATTCAAGGATTTCCTTTCTTTATTCTTCATCCATGTACAATGATCGCTTAACTTCCCTTGTATTCTTTTCCTAATCAATTTCAATGTTTCTGTTTCGTGAGTGTGACAAGAGTGAGAGGGTAATTTCCTCTAATAACATAATCAAGAGGCATGCATTATGGCAATAATGCGTGGAAGCGTCTAGACACGCTACAAGAAAAGTAGATTGAGAATTTATGGAGAAAGAAGTGTATGACATCATATTTGATAATGTATATATGAATAGTGACATTGACTAAATGTCTTCTTCCTAAGGTTTGGACGAGATCATTATGAAGCTTCCCCTAACACTTTTAGTGACAAGGTTCTAAGTTACGAATTAATGTGCCTTAGTGAGCCTTAGGTGGAAATTTTTTTTGACCAATTGGAATTGTCTAATACAGGTGATGAGGCAATATTGTTTTGGAACCCCATATCTCAGGTAAGAAGGTTTGTATATGGCGGCCATCCGGAGTTCCCGACAAATATTTATACTTCTACCATGGTGTTATTGAGGATATTGACGTAGGTATCCCCTTCACCATATTCAATCTAAGCTTTTGAGAACCTTGAATGTTGCCTCCTCCCGACTTTATCCTAATAGTTGGGAATTTTTCCAAGCATTTGAGGTAATATACAAGGACTTTAATATTACGCCCACCATTTACATCTTCTTTTCTTTTTACGATTATGAGTAGGGATGAGAATAAGGCAGACCAGCCTACAAGGGCCTATAGCCTAGCCTATTTAAGGCCAGACATATTTAGTAAAAAATCCAGGCTTAGGCTTTTTTAAAAGCCTATTTAATTAAATAAGCATGGCTAATGCTATTAAAAAAACCTACAAAGCTTTATAGGTCAGTCTATATTTTCATGTATGTTAAAAATAGTCTAAATAGGTTGACCTATATATGCATATATATTAGGAAAAATGCTAAAAAGTTTGGCCTACATATGCATATATATTAGAAAGAATGCTAAATAGGTCAGCCTATATATGCACGTATAAACTGACATATAAGACTTCTTAAGTAATATGGATTAGTTGAAAACCTTAATAAGAAACAGACTTTTAAATAGGCTTTCAGGCCAGGCCAGGCTTTTAAAAAGGACAGGACAAAGGAAAAAAAAGAGCCTATAGTAGGTCATAGGTTAGGCTCAGCCCTTGTAAGTTTATTGGCCAGGCTCAGGCCTTCTAAAGCTTAGTCTAACCTAACCTATTTCCACCGCTAATTATGAGTCTAGAGGGGTGTACAAGGGAGGTTGTGTTTTAGTGAATGCCATGCATGGGCGGGCCATCGTCTCCCATTAAACATCAAATTATAAAGGCTGAAAGGATAAATTCCTCAGGGTGAATGGTAATGTTCAATGCTTAGAAGTCATATATGAGAAATATGGGACACAATGGTTTCTTATTTATTGGACTAATGTTCCCGACTTAATTATGAGATGTGTCTCACATAAATTAAGTGCCACTGAAAGAGAGGTGGTTGAACGCCTGGAGGAATTCCACACTATGTGGATGCGGACCTGCTTAAGCATGAAGGCGACTTGGGATAAATTGGTTGATTTTCTTGGTATAATGAGACTTATGCAACCCTTTTCATGAGCATATCTTTGTCTGACTTTTAACTTGATTTTTTTTGTGTCGAAAAAATGACGAACATCATAGTGGCTGAGAGAAAAGCCCTGATGGCTCAGGCTAAAGCTTGCTGCAGAGAGATCCAACGGGTGCCCCATAGTGATATTAATGGGGTTCAAACCAAGATTACAAAAAAAGTGGAAGAATGCCTGAACTTACAAAGCACCCCTACAAAAAAGAACAAGGGATATACACGTAAATCCTGTGGAACTATATGCTTGCAGGTTTAATAAAGAAGTGATCAAAGCTAAGAAAGTCATACCTATCATGGTTTTGACAATGACAAGTCATCTTTGATAACAACTTGTGAGGATGTGTAACACCCCATAATTTGCCCTGTCGTTTCCAGCCAACCTCTTCAAGGTCTTCTTATCCCGGCTCGATGCCTCTAACGGATATTCTTGATTCTTGAGAAAGTTTCGGATATCATAATACCATGGCTTCCCATATGAAGCTTCCTCTACTACAAATACGAACGCTGGCCTATCGAGGCGTGAGATGACAATCCTTGGAGCATCATTCCAATAATTCAACTTGCACATCGAGGATAAGGTTGCCAAGGCATCTGCCATCTGATTCTCATCTCTTGGCACATGATGTAACTCTACCCTGTCGAATAAAGGTAACAACCTCCTTGCGTAATTCATATACATTACCAGATTAGGATGACGAGTCTCCCACTCTCCGTTGATCTGATTGACTATCAAAGCTGAATCACCATAAATATCAAGATTATTGATCCTCAAATCAATCCTTCAATACCCATGATACATGCTTCATACTCAGCTTCGTTGTTGGTGCAAGGAAAAGTTAACTGGGCAGTGAATGGTATATGGGATCCATGGGGAGTCGTAATGATTGCCCCAATTCCGCTGCCATAAGAGTTAACAGCACCGTCAAAAATAATCTTCCATTGGGAGTCTATCTCAGGACCTTCGTCAGGTAGCGGCTCGTCGCAATCCTT